ATGAATAGGGAACGTCGGGAAGAGGCTTTTTTTCACCAGTAAAAATAACAAATTATCCCCTTTCCTGAAATGCTTAGGTCTATTGAACAGGTACCGGTAGAAAATTGAAAGCTCTTAACGGAGAGTTTTTTAATATTGAGAAGTGTTTAAAAAAACTCAAGCTACTTAAAATAATAGAAATTTGTTCTGGAAAATTGTCCTTTAAAGCCAATGAGGAAAATTCCTTTTGATTCTTCAAGAAATTAGCCATTAAAAACTCCGAAAGGGCAGCTTTACTGTTACACCATATACAAACACCTGTGTTACACCGTACACAAACACCTATTGAAAATAAACCAAATGGTGTAATGGCTTAAAATGTAAATTTGAAAACAGGACTGTATGGGCCCATATCCAAAAGTTGAAGCAGTAATTATTACGGTTGCATTGAATGACACTAAGTAACACCACAATATACTAAATAACATTACAGGAAATTGTAAGAAGCAGGTAGTGTTTTTTCTAGCATCATTTAGGAACGTTCTGGAGCGATACCAGAGTGCAGTTGTGGATTCAATTTAATCTCTCTCCATGTGGAAGAGGCTATGACTGAAACAAGAACTCCTAGTTCTTCAGCAAAGAACTGTAACACGCTTGTATAATGCCTGAACCAGGTGCAAAAGGCAACAGTTGTATTTGTTGACCTAGAAATTCAGCAATAGGGCAGAGTAGTTTCTCATACTGCATCTCCACACGGTCTCATTAATCATTTCCCCATTTTGTTTCAGGCTTTGAAAAAGGTTTGAGGGGGATAGGTGCCACGCTATTACTGAATATTTATGAAATATTCTTATATTAGTCTTTAGAAAAACCTAAGCCTTTACTTTCATCATCAGGAGGCACAAAAGCTCCTGTTAGCCATTATAAAAATCCTATAGCTTTCTATCTGTAGATAATGTCTATTCATTACAGGAAAAAATGAGCAAATGAACTATACAGTGTAGAGACATTATAGTTTTGTTAATGAGTAACGATGTTTTAAATGGTTCATTTTTATCACTGATTTTAATTACCTTAAAAGAAAATCTTCACGTACACCATTAGCATGGTAAATAATTTATGGCATTATGCAATAAAAATGACAAAAAGTACAGTACGTATTATTCAGGCTGTAAGCTTCATTTCTGGTTTCAAATATCTCCATTTCAAACTTCTGTGCTTTCAAATTAGCAAAAGGTCATCACGCATTCCCACTGTTATCAATGGGAGCCTTTCTATTTATATTTCAAAAGAAATAGAGTAGGTTTTCAATACTGTGTTTTGTCCAGGGGCTATCTTGAAAGTTTCTTTAGAAATATTGGTTTGAATCAGAGAAATGTCAAAATGTCATGCTCCAAAAACCAGTAGCACGGTCATTTTACTTCTGATTATACTTATTTTTTAAGAGCTGGGTAATTTTGAGAAAAATGCATTTCTAAAAGCGGTCATTACAATTTTCAATAGGCACTCCATTTTCTTTCTTTCTGATTTTCACGCTTACCCTTCTCTGGGTAAGAGAACCCAGAGTCCAATGATTCCAAAAATATATATCAAGTTTGAAATGGGGGCCCCTTTTGTCAGGTGGTGTATTTTCAACTCTGATCTCTAGTTCAGGAGCAACTCTTCGATTTCTAGTCTTGAAAATACATGTGCTGACTTCAGGTCTTTGAAAGCGACCAAATAGTTTTCAATAATCTGTTTATAATATTGCTTCTAATATTTTATTCTGCTTTTTTTACATCAAATTTCACTAATCATTTCCCAAAACTTAACACACATACACACACACACAGAGAATTATTCTGTAGTTCTCCGCCAAAGTTTGTCAATTTTTGTGACATCTGTCATTTGTGCTGTAAGAATTACCTTTTCCCTTATTCCAGGGCCTAGTTATCTGACAAAATATTAAATGCTGAAGATAAATTATGTGGTAGGTAATTTGATATTTCTCTTAGATATTTTCTTTTTTGCGCATGGAAATAAGTAAAGATAAATGGCTAACACTTTGCTGTGGGAGTCCAACCCAGTATAATTATACAGATTAATAGCAAAAAAGTATTGTAAAGTACTGTAGCAAATTAAATTATGTTTCTGGCAACTTTTTTTTGTTAGCCAATCTGAGAAAATTGCATGGAAGTACAGGTTCAGAAACAGAAAAGAAGCTCAATAGGAAAAGTACTGAAAATAAACACAGAAAGAGGATGACTAATGGAAAATAAATGCACTTTATAAAAATAATTAGAAAAATATCTGAGAAAAACCTTATCTTTCCTCTTCAAAGAGGTGAAAGATGTGCAAAATTGTATTCTAGGATCTCAGAAATCAGCCAAAGTCTTCCAGCAAAAAAGGAGGAATTGAGTATCTAATATTAGCAAGGTAAGAGATCTGAAGAATGCTTTTAAATGACAACAAGAGGAATTATAAATATTGGAGTGACTGAGATGTGAGTGTTTTATTTTAGATCATTTTTGCCACATAAGTAGTTTGGGTTTTTTAATATTCAGTTGCATTTGTCCTTACATGTCTTTATGCACAATGGTTTTTTTCCTCACCTTCTCTCATTTGGTCCATGCACAGAAATTTTACATTTACCCAGGATTACTGTACACAGGTGACACCATTTTTTTTCTAATTTTCTAGTTGCTAACTTTAATGACACAATTCATACCTAGGATTAATAAAAAGATATAAAATGCTGGGATATTAGGCAGAAGCACTGTCTAAAAAGTACCAGAGGGTAAAATTTCCTAGTATGTTTCCTCTACTGGTTTGGGAGGGAAACAAAGAACGTTCATTGAAGAAATTCTGTACAACACAGCTGTGGACAGGACAGCAAAGGAACAAAATTTAGAAGCATTAATTATAGTGCTTAAGAGCATGCTACTTTTCCTTTTTTGTAATGTTAGGATTCAAAGCCAAGTTAGACTCCAAAAGCAAGGAGTTTGCTGCAGCAGCTGTACCTTTAGGGTTTTGCATTACAAACCATTAAAATGAGGAAAACATAAACCCACGTGAAATAAACTCAGCAGCAGGTTAAATTTCTACATGAAGCACTGAAAAACCAAAAAGCTAACAGCATGGGAATTAGTGAGGAGGAGACTGAGGAGAGTAGAAAAGGCACGTTTCTGCATTCAGAGAGGGGAGCGTATGAATTCTACTGACTCCAGATTTGCTTTATCCATTCCTTGTATTCTGTAAAGGAATATTTAAATACAGTACATGGCTGGACACTTTGAAAGTATAGAATTACTTAGCTCTGTTTCTTGAAATGAAACTAACAGCTCTATCTATGACGTATGTCTTCATATATATGCTAATTTTCAAAATAGTATTAATTTACCTTGAAGTAAGAAGAGAAAGTGCTTGAATTGATCTTTAAGACCACTATTTAAACTGATTAAGAGACCAATTTTTTGAGGTGCGTAGAGCTTCAAAAGTGAAATTCCTGAGTCACCTTAAATCCTAAATTCATCAAAATCTGAAGAATTGGAATTGTCTCTAAGCAAGAACTCTAGTATGACAATCTGCTTTCTGTTCTGGGCTCGCTTACTAGCTCATTCCTAGGAAAGTAGACAAGTTTAGGATCTATGCCTCAATTTCTCCTCTTTTGAAAAGGAAGTAATATACTTACCTTCCAGATGACAGTTTATAGGTAGTACTTCTCAAAATATTTGACAAAAAATTATTTAAGTGATACAATAAGTAAATATTTTGCTGACGTGAGCTGCCTAATTTTTTAAAAAGCAACGATTTTAGGGTTTCTTATTGTGGAACAGTCAGTCTCAAATGTTTTTCCGTTAATTTATTTGTACTTACAGTCCCTTCAGATATATTGGGAGAAGTGTTTTCAAGTACAGCCATCACCAGATCTACATGCACCATTTTTGTCACAGATATTTCCATTACCAGGCCAGCCATTATTTCTCTAACCCCCCATGTCTATAGACCCACGCCGTTCATAAAAATAATAGATTTTC